TTACTCTTGTTCATGTTACTCTTGTTCATGTTATCTTGTTCATGATACTCTTGTGTATGTTAATCTTGTTCATGTTACTCTTGTTTATGATACTCTTGTTCTTGTTACTCTTGTTCATGTTACTCTTGTTCATGTTAATTTTGTTCATGTTAATCTTTTTCATGTTACTCTTGTTCTTGATACGCGTGTTCGTGTTAGTCTACTTTATTTAGTTTTTTGTTATTAATACCCCCCCCCCTTCCCCCTTTTTCTGCTTCTCATAATCTTCTTCTCTTCTCCTCCTCTCATCGTCTTATTTATCCTCCTTCTCCTCATCATACACCTTTATCCTCTTCCTCTTCTACTACTACTGCTGCTGATGCTGCTGCTGCTGCCGCTACTACTACTACTTTTACTACTACTACTACTACTACTACTACCACTACCACTACTACTACTACTACTACTACTACTACTACTACTACTACTACTACTACTACTACTACTACTACTACTACTACTACTACTACTACTACTACTACTAATACTACTACTTCTTCTTCTTCTTCCTCTTCTTCTTTTGCTCCTTCTCTTTACCCTTGTCTTATTTCCCCCTCTCCCTCCCATCATCATAATCATTATTTTCTTCTTCCTCTTCTGTTTAATTTTCTTCTCATCTTCACCTCTTCTGCTGCTTTTTATACTGCTCCTCCACCCTTTTTTTTCTGTCCCCTTTTGTCGTTTTCTTCATCTCTTGAAATTTCTTATAACTGCCCTAATTTACCACTTTCCTGTTTCTCAGTGACGAGATGGAAAATCAGTTTCCCTGTTTTTGGAAATTCAAAGCAATGAACACCCAGTCAGCCAAAGCTCTATCAATACTGTTCATAATTGTTACAACAGCAACGGCATCCGATGCATTCCATTTGCCTGTTCACCACTCCAACTCTACAGATGGTAACGGGACTGATTCCGCTGATTTCCCTCATCGGCTCGGTAATGATAGCCACCGTGGAGATAGCACACAGGGCTACCAGTACGGTCGCCCGTCAAGTAATGTTTATGAACGAGCACACGATGCGCAGAAGGAAGATTACAAAAATTATACAGTTCACGTCGTACCTCCACTGGCAAATCGTCGACATGTTCATGACAACATTGGGAATTTAAAAGGCACAACTGAGCATCAAACCATACCAAGGCAAACTGAAGCTGTTATCAACGACACTAATCAAGAGGAAGTTGACGAGTTATCTCAACACGACCTCGTGATGGAAAGGAAACCATTCGCACAAAACCAGAAAACAGAAAACAAACAAGACAACAATCCTGCTATTGCTGTATACAGGAATGAAATCCAGGAAAAGGAAACAGACACGTTAACCAAGCTTTTGTCATTGGAGCAAAGAATTGCTGCGTATCTCGTTAAACATAAAAATAAATATCTGCCAAAGGATAAGAAGATCAACCAGAAGAAGGAAGTAATAGTAAACGAACCTGCAGCAAACATGGGGCTGCCAGATAACAGTAATGATAACGCTAAAGAAAGTCTAGGTGACAAAAACATGCACAGCACCTACTCGGGACCACGAACATTTGGCAACAAATTCAAAGAGGATGACAAAGAAATTGCTAACATAAATGTGTTTCCCAAATATAATTTGTACGATGATATTGGAAATGATTACACTGGAGCAGATCGTGCAGTAAAAGATAGCACTGGAATTGATCGTGTAGATGAGGTAAGAAAAGATAGTAACGGCAATAACAATAAAAATTACACTTCAGCTAAAAACGGTAAAAATAGAAATATAAAGGACGATAATAAAGTATACGATTATTATTATGATTCTGAGCGTCGTCAAGTCAGCGGAAGCGCCCGATCGCATTATGTTTACGATAACAAAGGTTTTGTAACTGACGATACTTTAGACAACAAAGAAGATAAACGCAGGAGCAAAGACGTCCTCGATGAAAGGCAAGGAGAAAAGCTACAGCATGAAGCTGAGATCTTTCATGAAACCGGATCATTTCACACAGTCGAAAATTTTGTGGAGCAAAACTCACGGCTAAAGAAACAAGAGCAAGCAAGATGGAAGCCAAAACCGGGATCCAAGAACATCGGCGATGACGATGAAAAGGTTGCCATGTCTGCATTTAAAGCTAGAGTAACAAGGGGTGAAGATGAAGATGTTGATAAAAGGTTAGATGATCTAAGACACCCGTTAATTGTTGATCACAATTTTGGAGTTAATAACAGCGGTCATTTAAGCAAAGATGAAAATCATACTATAGAAGTAAATAGCGAAGATAATAAGACAGGGGAAATTGTCCAAGAAAAGAATGAAAACTTACCTATTGAAGATCAGTTGAATTCCCTAGATCAGGGATTCCAGAATGACAACAGTGAAAGTCTTCTGCAAAAGGACAGACCTTTTCATAAGCAGTCAAACAAAAATAAAAGCGCAACTCTTGGGCTCACAAGTGTACACAGTGAACCAACACTTCAAGAAAATGATACAAATGAAGCACACAAAAACGAAACGCGATATCCTGACAAAGAGGATAGGGTTAAACCACTGGCGAAATCGGAAATATCCAAAGAACCAAGTACGTCAAGAGATCACAAAGCACTGTCAGGCCTGGACAGCATAGAAGATGTAGATATTTTATTTAAGTACAGCACAAACAGCGATCATCCAATCACTGCCGACGCTAAATACACCAGTAGTAAAAACATCACAGAAGAAAAGCTGCTGTTACACAGCGCGGACAGCAACAAACTAGATTCTGGCAACTTAAAGACAACTGTAGCTAGATCTGAAGCCTATCTGGCCGTTTGGGCATCAGCTGCCTCGAAAAACAACACGGATACAAACATGAGCTCTAATTTTGAGGCTAGACTTGAGACCATAACAGAAAACAAAGAAGCGTATGCGGGTGATAATAAAACTATGCCTCTTGTGAACCAGCGCTTAAACATAATAACACAAGAAAACAAAACAGGGGACAGTCGACTGATGAGAAACTTTAATGAAAGTTATGGAAGAAAACAAAATGAACAAGAAATTAAAGATTTAAAAATTAACACAACTTTAAGCAATCAAGAAATACAGAATACTTCTAAAATCAATCAAAAGAATATAAACCAATCCAACAGTTCCAATAATGACACAAATGTAAAGGATAACACGCTTGGAAATAGCCAAAATCAGGTGGCGGAAAACTCTACGAGCAGCAGTAACAGCTCACACAATGGCACAAAAGTGAAAGTTAATGTAAACAACTTAATCGCCCCCACAGAAGCTGTACGTTCAAAATTAATTGTTCCGGAAATTGTAGAAAGAGCATCATCTTCAAGAAAAGCTGTTTCTCAAATAAACGCGTATCAGAAAGTCCGAGATCAAGTGGAACCATTTGATGTCTCTGGTGCAGCTATGAGCAGCAGCAATAGTCGTCAGCCAGGCACACGAGACTTACAGCCAGCAATAAATACTACAAGCAGCAGGACAAAAGCATCAGGGACCTCCAAACTCGACAAAAATAATCAGCCTACAAATCAAATACAAAACCTGAAACAAGAAATTTCAGGTCAAATTAACATATCTTTGGATGCAAACGAAACAAATAATTCACCCATGCCAAATAAGGTAGGATCAAAGAATACTAATTCAAGCAAAGAAGTCACCAAGTTTAGGGATAATGAGAAAATCATGACACTTTATCGGGACAATTTGAATTCCACTTCTGATAATTCACACAAGCTCAGAGAAAGTGATTTCCTCAAAATCAATGCTTCGGCAACACAATTCCCAAACGAACAGACTAACCCACAGTTAACTTCTAATATAGAAATACGCAAAGTTTACGAAACCGACAACAAACATCAAAACAACCACAATGTAACTATCAGTCTCACCGATACACAAACTAACAAGTTCAAGGTTGAATCACTTCTTGCTACGTCTAACCAATCAGAGGCCAGAAGTATGAAACAGGAACCGGAAAAAATTTCAGCAAACGTATTTTCGACCACTAAAACACAAACTTCCTCAAAGTCAACAACTGCCACCACCAGCAAAACATTTAAAAATAATCAACATGACGGCAGAAAAGACGCTTTACCAGTTTCGGAAAAAGCTGAGGTGACAACAAAAATTGCTGACGGAACCAAAGAAGTTAATTCCAGCCTTCTAGTTTCGCACAAGATCTCTGTTACAAACAATCCAGATTATGAAAGTCGCACCAAAAATGTCAAAGAAATGAAAAACGCTACATTTTTCAATGCCCCTTCAAACGTAAATTTAACATCATTGGATGTCGATGACAAAAACCGCACAAATAGACAACAAAGTGACGCTATCAACAAAGTCACCTATTTTACAAGTGGCAGTAATTTCCAGGAAGAAACACAAATGTCCAACATAAGTATGGGATTAAATGTACCACGCAAGTTACTCAGTTTTGTTGAAATGGAAACTCACGAAAATAGTAGTAGCAAAATAATATCTGCCGCGCATAATGTCGAAAATAATCTTAGTTTTACTGGAGAATCTACTAATATATCGGGAGTGGGAATATCCAAATCAAATCTTGTCAGCAGTCAGAATGATAAGTTAATCGTTAAAACAGGTAAAGTTCCTTCGACGTCAGAAAATAACTTGAAAAACGGGTCTCGTAGTTTTAAAGGTAGCAGTAATAACCCAGCAAACAAAGTTACAAACTTATCAGATGTACATAATGGTCGTCCCCACGGCAACGCAACTATGGTGTTTTTAAAATTAGGAGCACATGCGGAACAAACGCGAACGGAACAAAACGTTAGTATAAATCGAAAAATTGAAAATACAGATTTAACTCAGAATATTAGTAATGTCCAAAAGAATACAGAAAGAGACCCGGTTGTAACAATTACCTTTACTGTAAAGAAGAACAGTTCGAATCCGAAAAATGAAAAACCTACTGAAAATGCTACATCGAATTCCTTCCAAAAGAAGGTTATTAACCTTCAACCCGAGGTCATGGCTAATGAGAGACACCATCAACAGAAGTCACAAAACCAAAAGTTGGAACCGGAAACTTTGTTGAAAGGCGATCTTGCGGACACAGTTGATTTAAAGCTGGACGCCAATAGCAACAAAGATGATAGAATTGGCGGCATCATTGACAAGGAAGACAGTGATAAAAGCAAGAGTGGCAGTTTTAGCAACAACAGCCAGAACACTGGTGCCAACAACAAAGCCTCTGAAGGAAGCGGTGAAGACCAAGATATTGGTAACCAGCAGCCAAGGAGTGACCAAGTAAACGACAAGACTAAAGACAACACTAAAAGCGAAAACAACGATAGAAAATTCCAAAACAAAAATGATGGCATCAGTAATCCAGATGACAACATCGATGTTGTAAAGAAAGATGAACAGGAAAGTGGTGTTGGGGAAAGTGATACAATCACTAACAGTGACGTAATCAAGGCCCAGTTAGATGAGACCAGCGCCAAATTGGAACAAGAAATGAGTAAAACATTAAATCAGAAAAATTCAGACTCAAGAAGCGATAACAAATTGACCAAAAATGACGCAAAACAAATACATAATATTGATGATGTATCGGCAAGTCAAAAGACAACAAACTTGGGTAAAGATGTCCTCCAAGAAGTGGATTCTGCTACCAGAAATAATACGAAGTCACCGGAAGCTGATGTTGAATCCGGATTCTTGCAGAATGACGTCGACACCAGTAACGATGACGTCAACGACGAAGTACCCAAGAACGAGGAAGCGGGAAATTCAAATGGACTGCCCGTCTCCAGTTCTACGAGGTCGTCTATTAAAAGTAAGTATGTGTATTTCAGTGTGCAGATACTCGTTTAGAAGGAAACGGTTTTGATCTATCTTTCGTACTGTGTTATTCTTGTATCAACATGTGGATCCTTGTTGGTGCTACTGAGTTCGTGCGCTGTGATGAAAATGTCCTTACGCAAACAACTGTGAGAGACTAGAGCACACCTGGGAAATATATAGAGAGGTAGCAACAACAACAATATATATGTGTATATGTATGTGTGAGTTTTGCTGAGTTAAATTTAAAAAATGACAGAATTAGCAATGGTAACAACGTCGGTAGAAAGACCTCATCATCATCATCATCAGGTGCCTTGTCGACTGGCGTGGGCGATCATGCCTCTCCACAATCTGCGATCTCCTGCAGCATGTATCAGTTCGTGTGCCGACACACCTCCATGCCATGCAACAAGACTGTCAAGAATCTTCTCTCGTTGTCTTCCTCTATCCCTCCTTCCACAGATCTTTTCAGTGGCCACAACATGTTCTATTTTCCAACTTCTCACAACATGGCCGAAAAATGATGACTGTCTCCTTCTGATGTCTGTGATAAGTTGTCTTCGGGCTCCCGCCTCTTTCAAAACCTATTGGCTGCTCTTTTTTGGCAGTCCAAGGTATTCTAAGCATTGTTCTGTAAAACTACATCTCTGAGGCCTTACGAAATTGTTTGGCCTGCCTGCCGATTGTCCAGGATTCACAGTCATTTATTTAAACTGGATGTATGTAGCAAACAAGAATTCTTTTTGTAACTCTCAATGACAAGGATATATTGCACAAGATGTTCTTCATTTTATAAATTTGCAGTTTTTGCCTGTCATATTCTGTTTCTTATCTCACTTATGCATCTTCCATTTGATTTTATTCATGCTCCCACTACTACATTTCTGTAATTGAACCAAAATAACACCATTGACTTTTATAATCTATCTAGGAATAATTCCATTGTTTGATAACATAATTACTTCTGTCTTCCCATTATTCAAACTGAGGCCCATTCTTCCACTTTCTAACACCAGAAATAACTATCATTTCCTGTAGTTTTTTCTGACTTGTTGCTATCAAGACTGTCATCAGCATAACGTAAATTTATTATATTGTGCCCACCAGCCACAATTCCGGGTATATCAATTAAATATCTCATTATATATTCACAGTATATTGAAAACAAATCAGGTGACAGTACACAGCATTGTCGTACGCTCCTCTTTAGGCTTTGGAATGTACCTAAAGCTGTTAATTCGTATAGTCGCTGTTTTCTGCAAATATATTATTATATTTATTTGCCATTCGGCACATTATTATTATTACTCATTTCAATAAGTCTTAGAGATTGGTTTAAAAGTCTTCTTTCGATTATTTACCCAGAGTAACCCCTCCTCCCTCTTGCCCCGGGGCTCCACGGAAATAAGGTCACCAAACAAATCTGTGTATATAAAGTGACTCGCCATAATTGAAAAATATATTTTTTTGCCTAAATTAATTCTTTGTAATATAAAATTAAAATCCCCCCACCACATCCTCCCCCACTCCTCAGTTCTGTTAAAGTGTCAATAACAAAAAATTATATTTAATTTTATCGAGCATTTACATTTGATTTCTTTCACTGGTTGTCGTAGGGGCTTTAACACACCGGTTTGCCCCGGGTCCCACAAAGCTGTTAAAAAGGCCTTGGGTGACCGGATAAATGACATTAATAATAATAATAATAATAATAATAATAATAATAATAATAATAATAATGACCCACCCAAAAAAAAAATCATAAGTATTACGGATTAGAAACTTTTCTAATGACTCACCTCAAAACCAGATGGTCTTTGGTGTCTTTCCTCTTGCACTACAATGCTGTTTCATAAGATTTAACTACACACATTTTCTAACTTGTCTCTCACCGGTATTTTTTAAGTGTGTGTTCATTCCTTTGAGCATATTGTTTCCATTACTGACAACACACTTGTTTCATTACGGGTACAACTTGAATTTGTGCAGTTGCTGTGAACACTTCTCTGATGTACTTACTCTACACGGAGCCGCGGTGGCGAAGCGGCGGCACTCTCGCACACCGGCCCGAAGGTCTTGGTTTGGAACCCACATTGAGATATCCCCCCCCCCCCCACCAAACCCTTTTTTTTCCCTGAAAAAAAAAATGACCTTGGCTCCAATGTCAACCCAGTGTGAAATGAGTACCAGGCTTAGGTATCGTAGTCTGGGGGTTAACGCATAGGTGTCGGAATCAGGGAGTTCAGGCTGAGGGGTCGGAATCTAGGGGTTCAGGAATAGTAGTCGAAATTATTTTTTATTTTGAGGGGGAGGAGGGTGGTGTGGGGTGGTGGTGTGGGGGGAGGGTGGTGTGTAGGGGGAGGGTGGTGTGGGGGTGGGGTGGTGTGGGTTCACGCATGTGTGTCGGAATCTGGAGGGTTCAGGCATAGGTGTCGGAATCAAGGGAGGCCATTGACCCCACTATCCTCCACCTCCCCCATTATATGCTTTCTAGAGGGTGGGAGCTAAGCGACCCCCTCCCCCGATTCTATAGTTAATAGGAGCTGGGGGTTAGACAGTTTATAAGTGAGCTAGTGGGTACCACCACCCAGCGCCCCTCACTCTTCCTCTTCTGTTGTAAGCATTCGTTTATATATTTCACATTATTTCATATATATTATTTCTTGTATTTCCTATTCAGTCATAATAATAACAAACATTATAATGAATAGTATTATTGTGGGCTGAATCGTAAATAAATGTAACAACATATGTGTAATAATATAAAGTGTATAAACTTCTTCTTTGCATTTGGTTTCGCATGCTCAGATCAGACCATCAGGTGGGTTGCATTTATGAATTCACATGTCAGTAGCACGTCCTTTATAGTCCCCTATTGCTTGCTCTGCACACTTTGCTAAATATATAAACAAATAGTCATGATAATACTTTACTTTATTTAGTCGCTCTTATTCTACCTTGGGGTGTAGAGTTTTGCCAGAGAGATCGATGGACTTCTCTATCAGCAGTTTTCTTATCTGGCTTTGTTCCATTCCAGTCCTGTACCAGTCATGGACTGTCAGATGTTGTCTTCCCAGCGAATCCTGAATCGTCCTGGGGGTCTGGTTTCCTGGCTCTTGGCCTCCCATGTCTGCCGGGTGAACGATTTTCTCCCATCCTGCGTACATGTCCAAACCATCGTATCTGGGACTGATCCACTCGAGGACGGGGTTTCAAGGTCATGATGTATTATCTGGTTGTGTGCTTTATAGCTTCTTGTCAATTGGATTACCTCTCTCCAATACCTGGCAATATTAATATTTATTATTATTAAAGACGTAAACAACTCTTAAGCCCACTTTGCCACTTCTTATTAAAATTAAAAGGTGACTGTCTACCTTCTATCGAGATTTCTTTTTTTTTTAATCGCGGCGTTCCTGGTACCAGGAAAAGTCCCGGGAAGTCAAGTCGACCGGTGTGATATTTACCACGTCACACATTGACAATTGATTGGTGTACACAATTTATGGATCTAGCATCATATGCCCAACCCACTACTGGCGAGAAAAGACTGCCTCCTGTACTTATTTATACTTTACCGACACGCCTGACTACTATTCAGTCGCCTGCCTATCCACCAGAAGCAACAGTTAAATCTCAGGCTGAACAAACTATGCCAGTCTTCTTCTTATTATTTCTCTTCTTCTTCTTCTTCTTAGCGTTCACCGGTTGTAAACAGCAGCGGAAAGTTTTGGTTGTTCGTCCACTTCTGACCTTTGGTATAGTTCCAGAACTTAGGTTTTGGGAGCACATTACTTTTGTAGGTCTGGCTTATTTGTATGCAGAGTATTAGTTCATCGCCTCTCGGGCAGACGCACTCTGCCTTTGAAGGAAACACCCATAATTAGTCGTCTCTTACGACATGCTTAATAGGGGCAGCGGGGTTATTCTTCCCGACTTCCGCTATATGAAGAAGTGTTACTTGACTAAATCCAAACCGTTATTGGTTGTAATAAAGTTCGCGAAGAGCTGGGGGCTGAAGCCCCCGCCCTATAGGAAAGGTCCTTATCTGGACCTCTTTTTAATTTGCTTTTTATCTCACAGACAGATCCTCAACCGGGTCAGACCCCCAACGCCAAATCGTCACATCCTTTGACTTGGGATGCAACTCACTTCTTGTTCTCCACATCTTTCTAACTACACGCTGTACTTCTTCAGGCAATGCTGGCGTGGTGGTGAATTAACAGACAGACAGATTAGCCGTTTCGGCACCACTGGATGGTGAACTGATGAATGACAAGGCAGATGTGGTCAGGCCTCTTTGGGAACAAGCAACAGAAGAAAAACAACGATTATGGTCTGAAGAGAATGAGGCACCTGGGTGTAACCAAGGGGTTTGGCCGGCTCACTACATTCAGAGAAAAGGCAAGACGGACATTTACCCGGATTACGATCGGTACCATTAGTAGTGGAACTCTGCATTGGCTGCTGAAGATGAAGACGGAGTACTCATGGAAATGCCCCGAGTGTTGTGATGTCAATTCTTGACTCAACTCAACACAACTCTGTACTTCCCATTACTTGTTTCTTTTGTTAGCATTTGTTTTATACATTACATATTACTTCTAATAAATTAGTATACTTAATTGTCAATAAGGACATACTAATAATTTTGTTTTTTAGTATCCAGAAGCCTTGGGTTGTTAACCCTTAGGCTCGGTATTATGGATATCGCAACCCTTCGGCCTTGATTCCGTGATAAATACCGTACATCTGGGAGAAATGTGGCTTTTCTGCCTACCCCCGGGCGTGAACTCGGACCACAAGGATTTCGTCACCCGGTCATATTAATATTATCAGTTAAACAAGGTTTAAACCTTTTGAGTCCGTTCCCGCCTTATAAAAAAAATATAAGGGGACTGGGATGCCTCCCATAACTATTTGGTGTGTGTGTGTGTGTGTGTGTGTGTGTGTGTGTGTGTGTGTGTGTGTGTGTGTGTGTGTGTGTGTGTGTAGCGGCGCCCTTGCTGTGATGTGCATATCATGTAAAACTATTGTTTCCAGTTCCAGAAATTTCACCATACAAAGCGCAAGACTTCAGCTTACTGAAGCCCGGCACAGCTAAAGCAGCCGCCAGCAAAGACAAGAACAATATTGACCAACAGAAAGCGAAACCTCTACCAGTAGCGGCTGCCACCAACATCTTAAGGAACAGCACCACGGAGAGCGTTGGTAACGCCAGCAGCAGCTCCCGCGGTGAGTGCCTAGATGCCTGCAGCCACGAGCCGGGAGGTGCTGGTATCCCGCAGAGGGCACAGGCGGCTGTATCTGCCGTGTTGACGACACATTTTGGGCCGACCAAAGATCAGATGATTCCCTTCGATCTTGAGCTATTGGGTAAGCAAAACATCACAACTTTATCACAACATGAATAAGAAGAACAACAACAGCTAGCACCACCACCACTACTCCCTCTTTTCCTCCTCCTCCTACTACTACTACAATAACAACAGCAACAACAACAACAACAACTACTACTACTACTACTACTACTACTACTACTACTACTACTACTACTACTACTACTACTACTACTACTACTACTACAATTACAACAATAACAACAACTACTACTACTACAATTACAACAACAACAACTACTACTACTACTACTACTACTACTACTACTACTACTACTACTACTACTAATACTACTACTACTACTACTACTACTACTACTACTACTACTACTACTACTACTACTACTACTACTACTACTACTACTACTACTATCACTGCTACCACTCATCAACAATATCATATTCCTCATCGCCACCACTACTACAACTACTGCCGCCGCTGCTGCTACGTCTACTACTAGTAGTAGTACTACAACAACAACTAGGAGTAGTAGTAGTACTATTACAACTACTTTGCAACTTCATTTCTTTTTTTGTTACAGTTACTACTACTACTACTACTACTACTACTACTACTACTACTACTACTACTACTACTACTACTACTACTACTACTACTACTACTACTACTACTACTACTACTACTACTACTACTACTACTACTACTACTACTACTACTACTACTACTACTACTACTACTACTACTACTACTACTACTACTACTACTACTACTACTACTACTACTACTACAATTGCATTTGCTACTACAAATATATTTACTGTTACAGCTACCGATAAAGCCACTATCGCTCTTATTATTGTTTACAAAAAAAAATCGAATGCTAGTACTTCTAATACGACATCAATCCAGCTTGCCAATTTTAAAAACTGGACACTTTAAAAAAAAATATATCTGACTGACCAAGGCGCTTGTGTGCTGTTGATCATGTAACATATTAATTCTAATTTGGTCTACCCCAGTGTTTCCCAAACGTTTCTTGGTCACAGCGCCTTTTTTTTTTTCAATTACAATTTTTCCACGGCGTCCTAACCTAAGTACAAGTATAGCTGTTCGTGTCTTAGTTAAATTAATTATGCTCTTTTACAATATTTCGCGGCGCCCCTGTGAAGAGGTAGAGGCTTCCCGGGGCGCCACAGCGCACAGTTTGGGAATCACTGGTCTATCCCATTATGTGTCTAGAACCGGTAGCGCTGTATGTGGGATTCAGCTGGGGAGAACACAGCCGCCGCCCCACTCTAGCCACTACCTATAATTGTTTTTTTTTTAAAGGGGTTTGGGGGGGGGGGGGGGGGTTGGGTGGACAAACATCCCCTTTACCCTTTCCTTTTTATTTTATGTGTGTGTGTGTGCATCACATTATTATTATTATCATCATCAATATCGTCATTATTATTCCTTGGGAGTCGCCGTGGCGTTGGCGGCTAGACGCCCGCCTGTGGATCGGAAGGTCGTGTGTTCGAGTCCTGACGGAGCCGGACTTGTTTTCGAAAATGACCTTGACTCCCAGGTCGACCTAGCCTTGAGTGGGTACTGGGTGCAGTCCTGGGAGGTAAAGACAGCCGGCATGTTGCTGACCACATCATCCGCTTAGTGCCGATTGTTTTATAAAAAATATACGACTAGACCTATATTCCCAATACGCCTAAAGGGGCCTTTACTTTTACTTTTTATCATTATTACTATTAAGGACTTAAACATGGCTTAGGCCCCTCGAGCATCAGGTTTGTAAATGGACTGAGGTGTTTCCTTCTACAATGTTTTATTTAATGGTGGCGTCCTTGGCTAGCACCATATACCTAACGTTCTAACATTATTTCCTACAACATGTATAATTATTATTGTATGGTATCGTTTTTTTTCTTCCTTTTCTTAGCTTTCACCAGCTGTAAACTCTGGCGGAAAATTTGGTTGTTCGACCACTTCTGGACTGCAGTCATGTTCCATAACTTGAGTGTTGCGAGTGCATCCGTTTCACAGATCTGACTTATTTGTATGCAGACTGCTGGCTCCTTGCATCTCAAGCAGATGCACCCCGACTTGGAAGGAAATTCCCAATTAGTCGGCTCTTGCGACATGCTTGTGGGTAGGCAGTTGGGCTATTCTTGTTTTCCTTTTAATGGGGCCCCGGAACCCACACGGGGAGTACGGTGTCTCACAACAGTCATTTTAAACTTTTACCGTCAGATTTCGCGAGGTGTAGTTTGTGGTCCTGGGCTTGATGCGCGGCACTGTCTTTTGTATACTAATATCTATCGCCCATATCTCTATTTCTCGTGGTGGTCTGTTTGTGTTGGCAATCCTGATTACTGCCTTATATATTTCATGCATATGCACGCTGTTTGCATTACTAAGATTGGGTGTGGTAAAAAAAATTGTCACAAGGCGCATGGATGTTCTTTGTGGTCTTTGATGGTCAGGAACAGAGTAATTATGGGGTGAATCCGTTTGACGTGAAGCTTGAGCTGCGACTATTTGGCTAACGTTAACTTTCTTTCTTCTTTCTTTTTTAATATTTATTTCTACCTTTTTACATATAAATATAAATATTAATTGAAACTAAAAAATGCTTCTTTACCAAAATTAATAATTTCAGATTTGGCCGACAACTACGACAACACAACTGGCATGTTCATCTGCACCATTCCGGGCACCTACGTTATTTCCCTGTACCTGATGTCACATCCGGGGGCAAAGGTCAACGCTCGCGTCCTCATCAACAACCGACCAATAGCTGCCCTGTGGGCCGACGACGCCAAAAACGCTGGCTTCTACCCGTCCAGTTCAACCCAGACGATCGCCCAGCTGGCCTTTGGTGACCAGGTGTACGTCATGCTGGTGGACGGTGGCTATGGCGACAGTTGGGTCCATGCCAATTATAACGTGTTTACTATTTTCTTGCTGTACGAACAAATGTTTTAAACTGTTTCCACCATGGTGATTTGATGTCATTATTCAAAGCCAAATGTTTGTATCCGTCTTTTGTTATATTTCTTGTCAATTTTACACCTGTTTGCGCCGACGCATCGAAAACATTGGAAGAAGGAGTTAGCCTATACATTGTTTAAGTGTGTAATAATAATAATAATAATAATAATAATAATAATAATGTGGTGAATGGCAAATATATGTTTTACAAAATCTGAAATAAAATGAAATGTAAAACCTAATACTAACTAGAAAATGTCTCTACATGATTAGCTAGATGAGACTTTTCCCCCTTACACGGAACACGGCACCGTTCAAATTGTTCACATGGTTCGCACAATGACATTTTTTTTTTCAAGTTTGCATGTTCTTTATAATCCTTAATTCATTTCTTCTACTCAAGGTAAATATAGATATTTATAAATTTTTTTCTGGCCATACAAAATTACTGGTACTTATCACAAGAGTCACCACATCTCGCTCGCGCGCGAGATTTTGTGCCGATTCCCATTCATGTCGTGCCAGTTCTTACGGGCAGTCCTATGTTCTAGGGGTTTTATGAGATTTCTTTCTCTGTTGTCCATACACTGAGCGCCGAAAAGTGACTGGCGTTCGGTCGACGAGGTCAACACACTGTTTCCCAGACGCAACTGTGCAGCTTACTTTCCGCTACTGAATTTAATTTCATTCAGGTTAATTCTCTTTCTAAAAAATTTATTTTTGTGTGTAAACATTGCAAACATATTCACGTTGTCTTTGTAATTGTTCTTTTGCCTCACCTTTGTTTCATCTTTTCTCGACAGACTATTATTAAAGGATTTTAGTTTTATTTCGTTGAAGTTTGATAGTTTTATTAGTCCAGAAAGGTACAATAACAGCCTAAGTGAAACTAGCATTCATAGAGTGAAGAATATTCTATGCAACGTGACTTTGTTTCCTGAGGGGAGTAGAAGAGTTTCGAAGAGCTAAACAAAAGGGTGAATCCTAAAGTAGGGAAGTGAATCATGGACAGATAATGGATTGATTATTGGAAGCCGCTGGGTGTGATTTTTTTAATAGTGGAATGGTGAGGAAATTTGAATGCGTCGTGATAGCGAGAAAACATGAGAAGGATTAGAGGCAAATGGAGACGGAAAGAAGATGCTAAATAGTTAGTTTGGTATCATTGCGTCACAGAATGACTGTCAGCACATGAGACTGAAGAATGGGGACAGACATGATTTTTAGTACCAGCCGAAATGGGCTATAAGAAGAAAGTTTCAACGCTGGATTGTGTGACCTCTTTAGGTACACATCACGATAATCATCCTATCATGTCGGGCGCGAGATTTTGCCATGGACTGTTTTATGTTGTAGGGGTGTTCGGATATGCGTACCTTCATCGTCTTTACGCACAGTGCGGAAAACTGGCTCCTGTTCTTTCGAGGCCCGACACGAAAGCGTAGAATCATCTTTCGTGGCAGGCGACGTAGAAAACTTTAAAAAAAAATTATTTGCGCGAGCGAGTGTTAGGCTTTTATTTTATTTACTAGGTCTCTTTTGCAACCGTCACGGGTTTTAGAGCTGGTTACATTGGGGGGGGGGGGGGGGGGGGGGGGAGGGCTGGGCCAAGTCACCTGGTAAGGCCACAGTGATAGCGATGAAGAGCGAACGCACAACGCAAGTAACACACACAAAGCCGACCGCTCACACCTTGAAAAATATAATGCTTATAGCTTTGAAAATAATAAAACATGACACCCCTAGACCAAAAGCACGGCCTTCTCTATTTATAGGCCATCTGGGTCAAAGTGGATACACTAATTAAACTACAGTTTCATTAATGTTCAACATATTTTTTAGAATTATACGTCATTTTTAAGGTAAATATGTGTGCTATTTAAATATAACAATAAAGGCTCTTACAGACAAACAAAAATGCTTTTGCTACAGGTAATATGAACATAAACATTAATAACGTGTAGAAATAGACTGAAAGCTATTCCAGCAAATGTGAAGAAATACCAGTGCTAACTCTTTGATTCTGAGAGGGTACTGTTGCATCAGAGGAGCAGGGCGGGGGAGGGGGAGGAGGGAGGGGGGTTTGACGTTTGTACTTTATCAAATTTAGCACATAAAAATACTGCTGTGAAACATACACACGTCCAGAATTAGATGAACAACCAGAAGTTTTCAGCCAGTGTTTGCGAAGCAGAAAATTCACAAAAATGAACACAGACTGTACAATTGCAAATATGCATAAGAAGTAGATGAACAACCAAAAGTTTCTGCTAGCGTTTACAGCCAGTGTTCGCGAGCAGAAAATTTACAAAAATGAACACAGACTGTACAACCGCAAATGTGCATAAGAAGTAGATGAACAACCAGAAGTTTCTGCCAGTGTTCGGGAAGCAGAAAATTCACAAAAATGAACACAGACTGTACAACTGCAAATGTGCATAAGAAGTAGATGAACAACCAGAAGTTTCCGCCAGAGTTTATAGCCAGTGTTCGCAAAGCAGAAAAATTCACATAAATAATAATATTATTAGTGTATTTCTACAACATATAATTATACTGTTAGTCAACAATTGGTAAAGAGGCATTGAGTGACTTGCTGTGAGAGGTTAGTTAGTAAATAAAATATAGTTTTTATGCACTTATCCAGAGCTTCGAAATATCTTGACACAATTTATTCACGATTTGATTTCTACATTCAAAATAAAAAAAGAATAAACAGCCAGTTCCCAAAAGTCTAAACTACTGACTAGAAACAGTGACACACACATAACAACACGACTGTCTTCCGTGAATTAAAATTAAAATTGCTGTTTATCCACTTCACAATATCTGCTTGTAGATTTGTATTACGAATACGTTTAGAACACAGGACTTTGTAAGCATATTAAAAGGTCACACAATGCAACATGGAAACGCTACCAGTAACCTATTTTCGAGGGGACTCCTCCAAAATGTACCGTGATTCAGTTGTCAGGACCAATAGAAGTAGCTAAATATAGTCGTGACCAAAAGACAGCCTGTGGGAAATCTCGCGCTCGACGTGATAGGGTGATTTTTATAATATGTACCCTTCTTTATATATTACGGTTGAACCTGCTGAATTATTGCCTTCGATTTCGTTGTTGGCACCTTAATTTTAAACGACAATGATCCATTGTGACACAGAGAGACAGGCGAAACACATCCCATGTCAAAACAAATGACGGCCAGTGATAAAGTTCCTCCTCTCCATAGCACTAAGCCTAGACAGTGTTGTGGAGACTGAGTCACACAGAAGCCGCCTCGGTGAAGTGGCTAGACGCTCGTCTGCGGATCGGAAGATCTTGGGTTCGGGTCTAGACGGTGACTTTTTTCTTCTTCAAAAAGGACCTTAGCTTCCAGGTTAACCCAGCCTTAAGTGGTTACCAGGTGCATTCCTGGGAAGTAAAGGCGCCCAGTGTGATATTGACCAAATCACCCACCGACTGCCGACTGATTTATAAAATATAGGTCTAGCTCTACATGCCTAATATGCCCGAAGGCTTGGAAAAAGATCCTTTTTTATGCGTAGCTATGCAGCATGATACCTATACCCCCCCCCCCCCCCCCCCCCAGTCGGTCAAAATAGGCGCTAGGCAGGGGCACTGTTTGGAGTCGAGGCAAATATTTCGCTTCTACCGGACGATGGCCGATTCATTTTTGCTCCATTTGTAGACTGAATAGAGTTTCGTCGCCCAGCTTCTGATTTGAATGCATGGCGTGACAGTGTGAGCTGCGAATTTCATTTTGAATGTTTTTTCGATTGTGACCAACGTGGTGGTGTGAATTGAAGATTCAGAAAATAGCGCGATGCCTGTCGTCGCAATGTTGGTGGTGCCCATATGTGATTAAAATTGATCGCGTTGGCAACTGCTGATCTGTTGGTGACTTCTACTACCATCAATGATGAACTGCATTTCTAATGTCGGACTGTTTGTGTTAGCACTTCGGATGGCTACCGTATGCTTTGATGCGTGTGTATGCTAGATATGCTGAGACAGCAGTCTGTCAGTCTTTCCACAAGGGACAGTGATAAACATTCTGTGTGTTTTTCGTTGGCACAGGAGCGGAGCAAACATAGGGTGACCCGTTTGCTATGAAGCTGAAACTAAGACTACCAGACTACCTCTATCCCTCTCTGCTTGCTTTGTTAATTCCAAAGGAAGGGTAACACCAATACGTTTAAAACAAAAAGATGCAACAGAAACTGTTGGATCAAAAGAGCAGGGCTCATTGCGTACATTTGTGGGATCTGCCCCTCTCGACCAGCTGTTAACGAACCTAAAGGACCAGGTCTGCCCTGCCATAACATTGCATTTTCATGGCACATTTCCTCTTCTAATGATACAGCCTATATCATCCCCATTTCAAAGCCTCTAGCACAAGTCGGGTGTCAGGTTTTGTAAAGACTGAGCAAAATTCCTGGCTAACAGAGAGCAGGTAGTACCGCATGCTGGCATACGGTAGCTCCGTCATATCTGGCTAAAATATGATACATCTTTTAGTTAGAAATTTATACAGGTTCTATTTTAGCTCAAGCCATCGCGTAATGTGTTCGTCTCCATTTTACTATAGGTAACAGCATACTTAAGAAATCTGGCTTTAATTTTGGCTACTTTCGTTGCCTAATTTGCCAATTTGAATGTTATACATTCGTGACTTTTCATAGTTATCATTCAATCCATTGGATATTTGCTGAAGGAACTCGATGGGATTAAAAAGGCTAGTAGTTTTGCTAATATTAACTCTTCCAGAACATTGAAATGTACCATGCGGTAATTGTCTTTTTCAAATACAATAAACTACATTAACATTTATGTGGGTTGTTCGTGTCGACCTTTCCGCTAATAGTATTATTATCCATCTTTGAAGTAAATCTTTGTCTACTGTAAACTGAGATGAGGAAAATAGGGAGGTTTGGAACAAAAGGACAATAAAAAGGTATATGTAAAGAGAGGTCCCTAGAAACATCAATCATTCGAGAGGTTTCGTATTGAAAGCAGTATAGGGGAGAAAGAGGTGGTAACATAAGACAATAGATTGATTAATGACGGAGGTTACGCAAGGCAAGATAGGGTCACGGCAGAAGGAGGTCAAGGGAAAATGGAAGAGGTCAAAGGTGAAAAGAGATAACACTGAGGTCACGGTAGGTATCAAACGAGAAATAGGGATAAGAGTGGTCACAGGACACAAAAGGAAGATTCACGATGAGAGCGAGGACATAAGGAGAATCAGAAAAAAAGTTAAAAAGGGAAACAGCAGAATAACTAGATAGACAAAATACACAGAGTAGGTAGGTAAAAAAAAAAAAATAGCTTGAACGTTGAACCTATCAATAAATGTTGCGTTCAGATCAATGGCGTGCGATTTTATTGCTTATTTTTCTTTGAAGATTGTTTGAATTCTCCTTGTTTTAATTCTCTTATAGCAGCGGTTCTCAAACTGTAGGTCGTGACACATTTTTGGGTCAAACGAACCTGTAACACGGGTCGCCTAAGACATCAGAAAACACATATTCGTTGAAGCTATGAAGTAGTAACGAAAATAATTGGATGTTTGGGGGTCGCCACAACATGAGGAACTATATTAAAGGGTCGCGGCATTAGAAGGGTTGAGAGCCACTGTTTTATAGTGTTATACTGCGTCCAAGTGTCGGAGGCAATTTTGTTGTTGTTTTAAAGCCCCACCCTGGCTATTTCCAGGAGCCATACTATAACCAAATTTATGGACTGAACCGAGTTTCTGGGACCTCTTCCTTAGTGATCCTCATCCGAATGGTGGCACTTTGTGTCCTGGTGGGGTTGAACGTCAGTCAATCTGTTAGTCAGTCAGTTTTAATTCTGTTACCTGGAGGATTGACACCCATTGTTCCAAAGAGCTCTTTGCGTTCGGTTTCGTATGCTCAGATCAGACCATCAGGTGGGTTGCCTCTGTGAACTCGCATGTCAGCTGCAGGTCCTGCTTGGTTCCCCATAGCTTGCTCTGCACACTCTGCTTTTGATGCCAGGTGTCTTTTCGAAGTTACAGGTAGAGTGGGGAGGTTTGCAGAATGTGCTGAGGTGTTTGGGGTTTTGTTTGACAGGAACACTGGGGGAAACTGTACAGTTTCTATTTTATGCATGTGGTAGTTGGGCCTGCAGTGTCCTGTTTGTAGACGGAAAATTGTAGTATGTTGCTTTCTGTTGAGTCTGCTGATGGAGTCTTGTGAATGTTTACTGTTAGTCTGTTCTCTCCACAATCCCTTGTATTTTCCATCCATAGAGCTCAAATACCGTATGTAAAATTATAATGTTGTTTCAATGTTAACACATGCCAGTGTAATTTGGAGAACCACCAAAGACATGAAATGAAAGTTAAATCCAGTCAAAAACAAATTCCTGAGAAAAATTATGAACAAAAAATAGAAGGAATTCGAGAAGGGAAGGAACACACAAAAAATGTTGGGGCAAACCGCTAGTATCAACAGTTATAAGACCCCCCCCCCCCCCAACCCCTTTTTTTCAAAGACCCTATATTGGACACATTCTGAGAAAAGACGATCAGAAAATCAGCAGGTAGGCACTGAAATGGGAAATGGAGGGCTTGAGGAAACGAGAACGACCTATAGAAGTCTCAAGGCGAACGTTGATGAGAGGAGTTTCTGTTAGGCTCGTTCGGGTAGGAGCGATAGCGGTTTAGGGGCATCGTAACACTGATTATGCTCGGAATGAATTGAGCGGTGTTTATCGATTATTCTGTATATCGATCAGGTGATTGGGTCGACTTTACTTTCTGCTTTCATTAGGGTCATGATTTACGAGGAAATCATAGTGGTGTGTTTTCTGTCGCTTCCTCTCTCTCTGTGTGTGTGTGTGTGTGTGTAGTTCTCTCTTTCTGTCCAAACCCCACCTCCCTCTGTGTATGTGTTTGTGTGTGTTTGGGTGTGGTTTTGTATGTCTCTCTCTCTCTCTGTGTGTGTGTGTGGGGGGGGGGGGTCTCTTTCTCACTCTCCCTTTCTATTCGTCCCACTCTTTATCTCTCTTTTCTTATATAATCATTCTTTCAACATCCCGTTTCTCCTTATGCCTCTGCGGGACGCTGGTTGAATAGCCCTGTCATAAAAGTTGACTAATAATTATGTTTCCTTCGAAATTAGGAATGATCTGCCTGGTAGGCGAGTAGTAGTAGTAGTACTTTTACCCCACTAGGAAATCACGTTAGCGATCAAATACCCGATGACAGAAAGTGCCACCATGTGGATGAGAATCAAACGTGGAGAGGACCCAGAAACCTCGTTCAGTCATTAGGCCATATTTATGGCCGGGCTATATTGCGGCCCCTGACAAGAGCTAGAGTAGGGATTCAAATAACGAAAAATTGCATCCCACAAAGGGCTGATAATTGGTAGGCGAGGAATCAACAGTCTGTAAACAAGAAAGACAGACATGTGAAAGGGATGTGCAAACAAAACTCAAATTCTGGAACAAGACCAGCATCCAGAAGTGGATGAATAACCAGAATTTCCACCAGAGTTGACAGCCGGTTAACGCAAAAAAAAAAAGAAAAAGAAGAAGAAGAAGAAGAATACTTGCATTATTGGCCTGTTAGTGCAAAAACGCATACCATAACAAAAACGTTACGAGCAATCAGTAGTCACTTCCCCTTGTAACTACCCAACTACCCGCCCCTTCGCGGCTAGACATGGTAACAACACCTCGGGTAAGGCGGTTCACAAACGCAGGCTGTCCTTTTTTAACAGGTACAGACCGGGCTGTTTAGCTAGCAAAGCTAGACGCATTTAGCGGAATCAAACCGGTGCAGGATTGCCGTCAAAAACAGGAGTTTATTGAATATGGTAAGTATTTTGAATTTAATGACTGTTGCTTTCTGTGGGTACGAGTATACATGACGTTTCATACTTGAATCAGTATCCAGGTCATACTTTCACTTTAAACAGTGTCTAATTGATTATAGTAAATATATTGCTAGCTACTGCTGCTACCACTGTCAGGTTGTTGTTGCTGCTGTTGCTGATTGTGTCACAGCTGTATCGACTACTACTAATAAAATTACAACTAGTAGTATTGCTACTAGCACTTCTACTGCTGCGGTTACAACAACAATTGCTACTCTACTACTGCCACTCTACCACCACTACCACTACTACTACTTCAACAACCATTACTAATACCTATATTACTGCTCCAGTAATACTGACGCTACTTCTACCACGACGACAAAGACCACTACCGCTACTACTACTAGTAGTACTACTATCACTACTACTACTACAACTACTGCTACTACTATTACTACTAGTACTACTGCCACCACCACCACCACCACCACCACCACCACTACTACTACTACTACAACAACTACTGCTACTACTATTACTACTAGTACTACTGCCACCACCACCACCACCACCACTACTACTACTACTACTACTACTACTACTACTACTACTACTACTACTACTACTACTACTACTACAACAACAACAACAACTACTACTACTACTACTACTACTACTACTACTACTACTACTACTACTACTACTACTACTACTACTACTACTACTACTACTACTACTACTACTACAATAACAACAACTGCTGCTATTGATGCTACTGTTGATACTATTCTTCTGTGTAAATTGTTTTGAAATACAATATGCACCTGGCGAGATATAGCGAAACATGTAAGGTTATAAAATGTGCAATTTATTGCTAATGTTCTCAATATTCAATCATGTGGACACTTGGAAGTTTGTCTGAAAATAAAAATGGCGACAAAAATACCCCCTCATCTCATTATGCCATACCAACAATATCGTAAGACAGCAGACCCCAAACCTCCTCAACCGGTACCATGTTCAAGGAGGTCCGTTGCGTATACTTTACAGGGCGTTGCAGAACCAGCCTCAGCAGCCCCAGGCTGTTGTGCGGTTTCTCTAGGCAAATTTACGTCCAGTAGTTTGCTATTGCCTCTGGACGGTCGGCTTCTTGATACCACTGTCGAAACAAATTTAAGGCGCATGGGGCCTCAGCTGGGATCGAACCCAGAACCCCGGCATTACGAAGCGTTCGCATCCACTTAGCCACAGAGCTGAACTGTTCAATGAGACGGTATTCAATTTGTGTCCACCTTGGAGACGTTTTCCACTACCTTTTCTTCAGCAGGGAAGGGTAAGGAAGTTTCAAGGGAAGGATGAAGGGGGACGGGGGGGGGGGGAAGGGTGGAGGGTCGTCAAGTTAATTTGAAAACCGAGTGCATTTGCATTTCTAATTATCACGATTTTTTTAATTTGACTTGACTTGCTTTGTGAACAAACAAACAAACAAAAACACAAAAAAAGTCGTCACGTTAAACCAGCATCCCCCGAAGATAGAGCTTTTGGTTATAATTGTGACTAGGTTTATGTGCACCATATAAAATGGCTTAGCATTGCTCCCCACCAAGTAGTCCTTTAAAAAAACTCTTGCAGTGTTGATGCAGTCAAGAGAGACAGACCCAAATACTGTCCAGAACAACAACAGCCGTCCACAAGGCAGCCAATGGGACGATCCGGGCGCCGATGAGTTCAGGATTTGCAGCTTTACCAGTCATGAGTCGGCTCTGTGGCTAAGTGGATGCGAACGCTTGTAATGCCGGGGTGCCGGGTTCGATTCCAGCTGCGGGCAATGCGTCTTGCGTTGGTTTCGGCAGTGGTATCATGGGGCTGACCGTCCAGGAAGCAATGGCAAACTACTGGACGTAAATTTGCCCAGAGAAACCACACAACAGCCAGGAGCTGCTGGGGTTGGTTCTGCAACGTCCTGTAAAGAATACGCAACTAACCTTAACCAGTCATAAAGATCAAACAGCAGCACTGCCAGCTTGACGTAAAGAGTGATCTCCCTTGTGCTTTGTCCAACATCAGTCTCCCCCCCCCCCCCCCCCCCCCCCCACCCCCCCCCCCCCCCCCCCCCCCCCCCTCTCTTTAAAAAAAAAATAGCAGAAATAATCAGAATTTAAAAACACTAAATTAACTGTTGTTGCTGATTGCTTCTTTTTGTTATTTGAGACTGAATTACGTGCGTGTGTTTGTCAAGGTTCTTGTTAACAGTACTTAAGAATTATATTTTCGTCCTACCTTTTTTTGATAACTGGAGTCGCCGTCGTGGAGCGGTTAGACGCTCGCAGCAGACCGGAAAGTCGTGGGTTCTCTTCCTGGCGGAGCCGGACTTTTTTTTTTCCTGAAATGACCTAGGCTCCCAAGTCGACCGAGCCCTGAGTGGGTACCGGGTGCAGTCCCGGGAAGTAAAGGCGGCTGGCGTGATGCTGACCACATCACCCATCTTGTGCCGATTGGGCTATAAAATATAGGTCTAGCCTAAGGTGCCCTACACGCCTAAAGGCGTGGAAAAGGGTCCCCCACTTACTAAAATTTTTTGATAAAATTTTATTATTTCTGGGTGAGGTGGGGCGATCTTATCATATATTCGGGGGTGGGTGTGCCACCTGAAAAAAAAAATAAAAGTTGCAGATCACTGGTCTCCACGGTCTTGTAGTAAGTGTTGTCTTTATAATAAACCAGGATCCCCAGTAGCGCTGCAGTTAACCTCTCCGTCTGCCGGCCTGAAAGTACTGCGTTCGAATCCGCTTCGAGTCAGATTGTGTTTCTTCTAAAAGGACTTTTGGGTCCCAGATCTACCAAGCCTTAAATGGGTACGAGGTAAAGTCCTGGGAAGTAAAGGCGTTTGGCTTGATGTTGCCCACATAATCTATTTTGGTCTTTTATGTGAGTGTGGCATCATAAGCCTGGGGTGGGGGGGGGGTGACAAGAAAAGGGTCCTTTACCTACTTAAATATACCCCTGACCCAGTTAACGGCATTGTGAGCCCCTGGGCCAGCAAGTGTGCTGGGGCCCCTACGACAACCACTCACATAAGTTATACTTCGATTAACCGTCACTCATTTAACCGTTAGTTTCTGGTATCTGTCATGGTCTTTAAAAGAAATGCGTGAATATGAAGAAAAAAAAAATTCAAGTAACCTAGGTTTCTAGAATTATAATATATTTCTGTACATTACAACTCTTTATTCTAGCTCATATTGATCGTTCTGTAAAATTAAATGCAGTTTTATGTGCACTTTAAGTTTATTTTTTTTTTTTCTTAATGTTCGCCCCAAGCTGCCAGTGAAATCATATTGCTGTACCCAAAGATTTCTGTTGTCGGTCTTTTCGGTTATCCGTCACAGCCCTGGTCTAGGTGGTGACGGTTAATCGAAGTATTACTGTAAATGAAATGTAAATGGTTGATAATATTAAACATATATTTATAAAATTGACACTTAAACAAAAATGGTGATAAAACATAAAGACAGATTAGATGGCTCGGTAGGAAATTACTGCCAACTTTTGCGTATATTAAGCATGTGCGGCCTTTCTTTCACAGAACTGCTTTATAATAGGCTAGAAGTCTGTGATCTTTAGGACGCCATTTTCCATGCACAAGAGTGGAAACCGGTGCAGACGATGCTTCCTTATTGTGTTACGAAGAATTTGTGTTGTTGTTATTGTTTGTTTGTTAAAAGTTTCAGTCTTGAAAAAGAACATTCTCCTGTGCAGTTGGTTACCATCGTTTGAGGTTTGAACAACAGATCAACATCATGGAACACGGGTAGCAATCCATAAGTGCTTCATTCTTCTTCTAACTCAAGTCTGAGTCCGAAGAAGCTCCGCACAGTGCACAGGCTCTGTAGCACCGGCGAGAATCCTGAAATAGTTTGCCCGGGCAGCGCCGCTAGGCTACTCTTTTCGATTTCCAACTGCAAAGGGATTTTTAACGCATAAATGCATACGGGCGTCTGATCTCACTGCCCAGAGACCAGGGGGAAATTACTAGAAGTACAAGTGCACGTGAAAAAATCCCAGCCTTTACTGGGGATTGAACCCAGAACCTCCAGCACTCGAGGCGGACACAATGCCTAGAGACCATGCAGACTCACTGGTTACCACCATGGACACCAACACTGAATGCAATTTCAACATTCGGGAAAACCAATTTCAAACTGTCCGAAATTATTTTTCTGTACAGTGCAGGAAGAGTCTCACATTTTCTTTTAAGAGCCAGGTGGTGTTTGAGATCCATTCATTTAAAAAAAGTCACTATAGTTTAGATGTTTGTGACACATATAGGCCAGATGTTCATGCTTTTTCTTTAGTGCATAAGATGCGGATCCACTGAAGACAGAAAAATCTTCTCAGGAGAAGATCGAAGCACTTGTGATCATGTCCGACAAAGATGACCCTTAAATGAACAATTAAGAAATTTTAAAAAATGTTTTTTTTATTAAAAGCCTACCCTGAGATGACGTCACCGGACAGTCCAACATTTTAGAGGGTGGTGAGACTGGATTTCCCGGCTTTCTTCTGTTTTTTTTTTTTTAGTATCCAGAAGACATGAGTTGTTAACCCCTAGGCTCAGTATTATCACAACCTTTCGGCCTTGATTCCATGATAAATACCGTAAATCTGGGAGAAATGTGGCTTTTCTGCCTACCCCCGGGAGTGAACCCAGAACACAAGCAGTTCGTCACCTGGTCACCGCGCAATCCGGTTTAGCCAACTACGCTAGCGAGCCGGGCTTTTCTGCTTTTAACGACCCCAAAACATCTAGAACTGGCCCTAACCTCAACCTAGATCCCACGATCGCATGCAGCCTATCTACCACCCCCTGAAATATTAGAATGCCAGTGGATTTCCCCTGTTTGGGGTAGGATATTAATAAAGCACCACAACAAATTTCCAGTATGTAAAAAAAAGCCTCAGCACGTGTTGCTATTTCAAAGAATTCTACCATCCAC